AACATGATGTCGCAATACATTATGAGAATATTCAAGCTTCCATGATCTACTATTGAGGATGTGGATAAGAAACAAAGGTATTTTTATGGAGGAAAAATGACAAAAATAATCAATAAACATAGTGAAATGGGAAACAATCTGTAAATCCAAAAGGGAGGGTAGATGGGGATTGAAAAATCTCAAGTGGGTTAATGAAGTGAGATTAGTGAAACCAGGGTGGAAAATTTTGACCCAACCAAATAACATGTGGGTCCAAATGGTCGAATAAATACCTCGCAACTAAGAACTTATGGGAAGCTAAAACCCAAAATAACATTTCTTGGGCATGGAGGGGCATCTGAAAAGAGGAGCTGGTTGGACTGTAAGAAAAGGTAGAAATATTCATTTCTGGAACGACATTTGGGTAGGTGATTCCTCCTTACAATCAAGTCTAGACAATGATCAGATTGAGGATGAGTTAATGGTAAGCGAGTTTAAAACAAACACGAGAGAGTGGAACAAAGACACGATTCTTTAAAAAGTTTTTTCCATAATTATGGGATAGAATAAGGTCTATTCTTATTCCAAAAATAGAGAAAAGTGATACTATGATCTGGAGACCAGATAGTAAAGGTCAGTTCTCCATTAAATCAGCATACAAAATGATCGATCAATCTTCGAACAATGATGTCGTGGATTTAACATTGAGAAAGGTGTGGGATCTTAGGTGTCCTCCAAAGGTCTAGTTTTTCGTGTATATGGTATTTAAAGGCAAGATTCTCTCTAAAGCTGGACTGAAAAGTTAAGTTATGGGAGAGGATTCATGCTGCCCACATTGTGGGGAAGAGGAGGATCTTAATCATATGTTTTTACACTACACAGAGTTAAGACAAATATGGGAAGGAGAAAACATCATTGACATCACACCTAGATTAGGTGACTCTATTAAGGACTGGTGGGATAAAGTGATGAAATCGAAAACTAAAAACATATGGAATCCTAAAATTGGTAGCATAACACTATGGCACATATAGAAGAAGCGAAATACCAAACTCTTTCAAAATAAAAACACTCCTTACTTGCTCCTTCTTTGGAGGATCGAGTCATATGTGGATATGGACCTAAAAAACCTCGCCCCACCTCACAAGGATTCAAAGTCAACTTTGATGCATCCAAAAGGTTAAATGGCAAGTGTGCGATTGGGGTCATTATGAGGGATGAGATAGGAAGGATAATAAGCTGTAGAGACGTTGGGGTTTGTTCTTCCAATGAAGTGGAAGCATGGGCTGCTCTTGAGGCCCATGTGGTAGTTAACAGGTTTCTTCAATGTAAGAGCATCATAGAAGGAGATTCAAGTTTCATCATCAACTGTCTTCGAGGTCAAATGTTTACCCCATACCACTTCGTTTGGATCCGGTGTAAAATGTCATCATTGTAAAAGTACATTGATGATGTTTTACACTGAACCATATAATAGGTGACCGTTACATCTTGAAAACGGTGATAAAAAAGTGTAAAGTTTTACATCGACAAAATTGATTTAGTATTTACATCGATTATTGATGTAAAACTTTATGCTTGATGAGGTTTTATATCGATTCATGGTATAAAACTCCATTCCATATATCCAAATGCATGCAAAACTGAACCGGAGTGGAGTTTTACGTCGATCATAATTACACGCTCCTTCCAAACACCTACAAAGCTGAACCAATGTAAATTTTACATCGGTTCTTGATTTACATTGCTTCCAAATGCAGCCTACAACATCTCCAATCTTATTGGAGAATGTTAGGAAGTTTGGAAATGGCATAACCTTAATCTTTCTTATAAGCACGTCATGTGGGAGGGGAACTTTGTTGCGGATCGAGTTGCATTCCTTGGTCACAGTGTATCCTTATCCAGTTCGTGTATCTCGGATATGAAGCTTCCTTATTTGTTATTTTGGCTCAGTTTGGAAGGAGTACAAATACAAATATGTAGTGCAAAACCTTGTATTTTGTATCATTTTGTATGTATTTGCACTCTACATATTTGTATTTGTACTCCTTCCAAACTGAGCTTTTGATGCATGGGGTCATTACACCATGCGTCATGGTTCCTTTTGATTTTTCCTGTTAAATCTCCTGTACCATTAAAAAAAACAAGATGAGTCTTGGATTTTAGAAGGCCCTTTGGTTGTGCCTCTTGATTGTGAATGGATCATAAACTATCATTTTTTTTTCAAATTTTAATATGCGAGATTATTTGAAATCACAACTTTATCATGAAATCTCATGTATAATTGTTGCATCAATGTTTTTTTAAAAAAAGGATTATCTTATGCAATTAAATAGCTCTTTGTGACAAAAAATATAATGCTCATTAAGTGCATAAACACTACATAGAATGTTCATGGAGCTCCATGTATTTTGTCAAAGAAAAAAAATAAGTGAGAACAATTAAGTGTGTTTACCTTGTGTGATGTATTTGTTTAATGTATTCATGTGCTTACATTGTCTGATGTGCGATCAAGACATGGTGTGAGGTTGGTGTGAGGAGCAGATCTGATCTCACCGGGAGATGTTTCCAATGAATGGTCAGGCCCCCTAGGGAATGGGATTCTCATTCGAGTTTGTCAAGAAGTACGAAACTCATGAAAAAATCCCTCAAACCCGAATATTATTAAAATAATAAAATATTGTTAAATTAATAATAAGAATATACTAATAATTAAAGTACTAATAAAATATTAATAAATTATAGTATTATAATAAAATATTTAATAGTTGCTACATAAAAACGTGCTAAATAAAAACTTTTATTAATATAGTTATTAGGTTTATGTAGCAACTATATTAATTATAGTTATTATTATTATTATTATTATTATTATTATTATTGTTGTTGTTGTTGTTGTATGTTGTGTATCATATGTTACAGGTTTCTAGACAAACCTGAACCATTTTCAAAAATGAGTCAACACAAACCCATTTAACTTGTCTTCTTTGTCAGAGTGATAAAATGGGTTCTACATTTTAAATTTTCATTAATTTTTATTTTAATTCATTTGTAATGGGTCCTCACCCATGGATAATTTTAAACAAAACTCAAAACATGACACCAAGTAGGGATTGGGGCACTTGTTTGGCAAGTGTAGAGTCCATTGCTCAACCCATATCGAATAACTCAAATTATTCTCACCACGTATCCAACCTTTGGCAGGTGTAGGGAGATCCATTAAGCATTCAATAAGTTTGAAGCAAACATTATCAATAGGGAAAGGAATCACGAGGCTAAGGGTGTCAATGGAGTGGTTTTGGGTTGGACCTCGATCAAATCAAAATCAATTTGGATGGATTGGATAGACCAATAAGACATTGAATTGGGCCAATCTAGATTTAATGGACCAAAGTATTATGGATTGGATCCGGTCCATCCTTAATGGGTTTATATTGGATTGGGTCCGATTGAATCAACATCCAGTCTATTGATAAGAGATAAGTATACATGTGCCAATGGACCAGGTTTGGATTGGAACAAATCTAAATTAAAACCAACTTGAATAGATTGGACAATCCAAACATTGAATTGAATCGGTCAAAATAGTCCAAAATACTCATGGGATTGGATTGGACTTGCTCCATTTATATTTGACTCATATTGGATCAGATTGGATTGGACCAAATTGACACCCCTAGGGTAGAGCAATTAGTTATTTAATAGGTGTCTTCTTCTAATTGTATATTAAAAAAAATACCTTCTAAGTAAGCCAAGATGGTTTGATAGGGTTTAAGACATGGTGAAATATTAGGTCATGCTTTTAGGGTTTTAATTAGGTCAGCGTGGGATCTGATCTAAAACACATCCAAATCTGATATAATTATTGAAATGGTACATCCAAACCATATAAGAAATTCGATTTGTCAAATTCTTATTGGACTAAGATTTGATGTGAATCCACATTAATTAGTTTTTAACTTATACATTAGGCCATTACCCTATCTTGTTCCCATTATTTTGGGTCTTTGAGAAGATGACTGAATATGTAATTGTAGATCTCTTGTTTCTTATGAGAAAGTCGTCGGAGTGGCTTTTTTTTTCACATCGAAGTGGCTGTTTTTTTCACGTCGGAATGTCCACATATTTAGCAACTTTGAAATGTCACCAGTGTGGCTATTTCCATTGTAAACCTGGTGAAACGTTTTAACACTCTGGTTATATCAGGTCTAATCTTGAAAGGTAATTCTGATTGTCCCCAGTATCTTATAGCAACGAACTTTATTTTTCGTCGCTACAAAAGTTAAAGAATCTATACTGATGGCTTGACCATCTACTGACGGAGTAAGGCCACGGATGAAGTATAGCAATATTCGTCGGTATAGCATAAAATAAATTTAATATCAAAGGAGCGAAACATTGGCGCGCATTTTATGCATTTAGGACTTTCCCCATCTCCACGACTCTCTCTCTCTCTCTCTCTCTCATCTCATTCTATTTTGAACTCCATATCTCCCTATTACTCTCCATTTTGCACTCACTTTCATTCCACTCTATTGAAACCCTGTCCTCCATCCACCTCTCTCTACACCCTTCTCCGTTATCCCTCTGATTTTTGTTTGTTCTCATTCTCTTTCACACTTCCTCCACTAAAGCCCTATCCTTCCTCTGTCTTCTCCCTAGGACAATCACCACAGCAGGTCATGCCATCACCATGCCCTAACATTTTGATTTGAAGACATATATGATGCTTGATGATGTTCTCCAATCTCCTTGCAGCGTCATGACTATGTCTCTACACAGTGAATTCTGGTTGTCTACTTGGTTTCTTTGCGTCTTTTTTCTTTCATTTGACTAGAACCCAACATGTCAAGCAGAGTTCACGTCATCTTTATAATTGAGAATTGAGATCGTACAGTCCATCAGATCGGTCTACGTTGATGGTAACATAAAGGGCTAGATGATTCCACGGTCTCTCATTTTTTAAGAGAGAGAGAAAGAGAGAGATAGGAGGGGTGCGGGTGCGGGGGCGGGGGCGAGTGGGAATGGTGGTGGGTCAGATTCAAATTTTCAATGGTTGGTTTAACCAGTCAAGAAATGAAATTATCGCTTCCACTGCTATTACTGGTTATGTTGCCAAACTGTCGTGTGAATCCATATTTATTATGTAATTGCAAAAGTTGTTAGCAACTCTAATGCTCTTTTCTTGTGAGCTTCTACTATTTGATTTTATTCCACAATCAAAATCTGCTTTAATCAGTTGGGATGCCCTGGGATTTTGCAGTGGTTTGCGAATATCTACCTGTGTGCATGTTCACGCCGTCCTTATAAGCGGATTTCCGCATTATGACACTCGTTTCTTTGTTTTCTTTAGCATGCTCAAGACCCTCGAGCGCTACCAAAAATGCAGTTACAGTGCATTGGAAACAAGCCAACCCGCCAAGGAGACATAGGTAGCTTCGAATGTCTCATTCCTAACCAGAATTTTGTTGAGATGGTACTTACTCAACGGGACAAAAGTCTTGGATATAATTTTTAGTTTAAATTGATTGCTTCTTTCAGTTTTTCACTATTGGATTCTGATCGCCAAGTTGTCATAGTTCTTGTTAATATCTTCTATCTATCTACTTGTCCTATATGGCTGAGACCTGGTTTTGATATCCGAATTTCTGACATGGTTTTATTGTTACAATTACCTCATGCAGAGCAGCTACCAGGAATACTTAAAACTCAAAGCAAGAGTTGAGGTCTTACAGCGTTCTCAGAGGCAAGTTTCTTATCATGCAATCCAACTTTCTTTCTTTGATCTCATAGCTATCCTATTTTTGTGAATTTATAATACTGTTTGTTTAACTCAGGGAAGTGATTAACCTGATTCTTCTTTAATCATGTTATTGTAGAAACCTTCTTGGGGAAGACTTGGGTCCACTAACTACAAAAGAGCTTCAGCAGCTTGAAATGTCCTTGAAACAAATTAGATCAACAAAGGTAATTTAAAAACCTAATCTTTGGTTTGATAGTGTTGAGTAGATAATTTCTTTTAAGCCATGCTTTTTTCCCAGGTAGAGTTGGGATTGTACAGTATTTCTGTTACAATGAAAACTTCTGAATACATTGAGAACTGATAGCCAGGAGTAAAGCCTTCCCGTAATTCTTCCCAAAACTACTTAATCATTGCCACTGTCGTTCTCAAAAAGTTGAGCATTCTTCTCCCCCCACAAGCACCAAAAAAACAATCATAGGAAGCAGCCCCTTTAACTCAAACTGTCTATCTTTCAGGTTATCAAAAATGATCATGTGGATTAAGGAAAGCAGCCCTCCCAGCTGAAAGTATCAAGAACTTTGCTTCACACCTTGGTTGTGAATGGACAGTTCATAAGTTGTTTGCAGTCTCCCACTCCACACCATTTTGTTTCTAACAATGATGTGGAAGTACTTGTGCATTGATTTATTCATATCATATCCTAAGTTTTAGATAAGAAGGGTATGGTAATGAATTTTTTTTTTCTTTTCCTACTCTTTGATAGGTATTTACGTTTGTCAGTATAAGGGTGAGAATCAATGCTATACAGGAGTTTGTTTCTTACTGGCTTTCTTGAGAACCATTTCTTATCTTTCAATATAGCAATGGGAGTCCTAAATCTTTAATCCATGCAACTCTGAACTTTGTGGCTGTTGCAAAAACTGTGTCAAGTCATTACAAAGTAGAGGCTGAAAATTAATTTTTCTCACATTTTTAGAACTAACAACACTGCTTTTTATAAGGAGAATGGAGGTTTAAAACTTGAGACCCTTATGTATTTTGTTAGGTGGTCTGCAATTTGCATTCCTATTTTATTTATGTAGGCTCCAATTATCAAAATATCAATATGATATGCCCCACATTGGGACTATCATTTCTGCATCATTGACCATGGAGACAATGGTACACAAGGTTTTTGAAGTTTAAAAGTTTGGGATGATAGAAGACATACCTCTAATGCTAAAAAAATAAAAAATAAAATAAAAAGGTAGAATATTGGTCATATCAATGCACACTGATGCCCACGTCTTGCTATTGAGCATATTGATATTTTGATTCTTGGTAGACTCTAATCCATTGTTGAAAAGACTGATATCTGGTCATATTTTCTGTAGAAGAGATATTCCAGTTATATTTATTTGTTGTTCAATTTCATTGAAATTGTATGGAAAATGTGAGTCTATTTGTTGTGTGTCTTGTAATTAGATTGAACCTGATGTTTGAAGGAGAAATAAATCAAAATGTGCAAGTTACAGTCCCTTATGTCAACCATTTCTAGGGAGAACGGGAAGATATGTCATACTGTATGCCCAACTAGTAAATAGGTCTAGGTGAAGCATTCAAGCTGGGCCTAACTGATATCACCCATACAGCTTCAAAACCACAGTTGTAATAGGGTTTTCCTTTTATTCAATAAGTTGACCTATTATCATCATATTGGCCCTTTGTTGGAGCCATTATTGTAAAATAATATATGTGGATCGATTTGAGTAATACAACTTATATACATTTGCCCGAGGGTCCTTTCTTATGCTAAGAAAGTAATTAATCCCTTTTTAAATGCTTTGCAAACCCAATTAATGCTTGATCAACTATTTGATCTTCAAACAAAGGTGATTAAGTGGTCTTACTTATCTTGGGATTTAATGTTGTTATATTTCCATCTTTCTGCCTTCTAAGTTTGTCTAATGTTGTGCTAATGCAGGAACAAATGCTCCAAGAAGCAAACAGAACCTTAAGAAGGAAGGTATATCACCACCTTAGCATTTCAAATGTGAGCAACTTACAAAAATGCTTGAGAATTTGGGTGTAGGTGCAAGTCCGAATGTACTTGCCTATCTGTCTGGTAATTAGGTTTTTTTAATTTTTTTTAATTCTTCCACATAGCAATGTTTTAGGGCCCAATTAGGGTAAGCACATTACTCTGCATTTCTAATGCCAAGTTCCAAGTGTCTGGGTAACTATATCCACTAATATCTTGCTTTCTGGGGGCTTAAGTCATGCACTCTTACTACTATTTGTTGAAGGTTCAATTTTAGTTCCTTCAAACAACTGTTCAGGTACCAGTTTAAGGTTGACTTTAAGAGTTTAACTGGGCTCCATAAAGCAAAGTAGTTGAATTTTCAAAACTCGTAGATATACTTTATACTGCCTTAACAGAATTCAAGCAGATCACTGAAAATGGTCTCTGATATAATTTTTGTATTGGCAACTGGAAGAAACTAGTTGTGAAAATCCCCTTCGGCTGACATGGGAAGCTGGTGGGCAAAGCATTTCATATAGCCGCTAGGCTGCTCAATCAGAGGGGTTCTTCCAACCATTGGAATGCAATTCAACATTGCAAATTGGGTAAGCTCATCAGAAGTAAAATCCTTAAGGTTTTTTTTTCAAGGTTGGCTTTCTGAATTCATCTAATTTTCTATTTAATTTTCATTTTGCCTATAGGTACAACTCTGTGGGACCAGATCAAATAACTGTTACAACCTCAACCCAGAATGTGAATGGCTTCATTCCTGGATGGATGCTTTGAGTTCTGAATAATAAGTTGAAGCCATAAGCATGCTTCCTACTAGTTATATATGTCATATTGGAGCAAATAAGTTAGTGGAGGTTTATCCAGTTGTTGCTTTGGATAATGCTATTTAGGCCTCTTGTGGCTTAATTGGACAATATTTACATGTATTTATCTCTTACAAAGTTGGTCATGTGTTTTACTATCTCAATGAATGTTACAAGAGCAAAGTTTATTGGTTTGAATGGAATTTCAGGTTATGGTCTTTTGTTCACCCTTTGGATTTGGTTTAGTTTTTTAATGTATAGGTGTGATGCATGTGTTAGACAATTTAGATGAACGGGGTGGAAGGGAATTAATTGTAACAAGTAACAAATTTAAGGTTATGATGAAAAAAACACTACCTATACCAATAGACCTATCTGTTGGTATATATTGGCACTATACCGACGGACAAAATCGTTGCTAAACCTAAGACTTGTACCGATGGTTGCTAGTCCTTATTGTGACGAAAGGAACCATCAGTATAGAAACATATACCCTACCATGACTTTTCTATATATACTGACGGATGTCTTCATCGACGGTTGTAGATTCATTGGTATAGCCATTAATACCTACACATCCGTCGGTATACCCCTATATTGACTATAACAAACTAGACGATTGGAATGATCGTCAGAGTAGCCCATATTGGGTTATACCGACGGATTTTCTAACTATACTGATGGATCTAGTCCATTGGTATATGTCATATTTCCTGTAGTGGCAATCTTCCCTATCCGCAGGAGGTCTCACCCCAAGTTTTCAGCTTCCTACTAAATATTATTTCTTCCTTACAGATTTCTAGGTAAGTTTGTCTCTAACCTAACATGTGAACTTTATCTATAGGGCAGCTCGTCTCCATGCTATTTTAATTCAGGAAGGGTTCTTTTCTCATTGTTGGGTAATAGTTCTCTCTACAGGAGAAGAAGTCAACAGTCCAAAGTAGCTGGAAAATGGCATATCAGAAAGGAAAAGGAAAGGTATGGGAAGATCAGGACAATGCTGTGAACATACACCTGGCGCAAATGCTTACAAAGAAAACTGTGGTGAAAGGAATGCACATGAAGCTACCGATGGAAAAGTGCCCTGAGGTAGATGACGTACTAAAGCACCTAGTAAAGGGTAGAATATTTCCTCACATACAAGTCACCAAGGAATCTTTCAAGAAACATGTGAAGGCCATTTGGAGCATTCTCCATGAGGTAAACATTAATTTTATTGAGGGAGGGCAAATGGAGATATTTATGGAGGATGTTAATGAACGTCAAAGGGTATTGAATGGAGGACCATGGTTTTTTAAAGCTAGTTGGATTTTAGTGGCTCTCTGGACTAACTCGAAAGATGGAACAATTGAAAAACTCCATCACTAGAGAATCTAGCTACAACTTCATCTCATCCCAAGATCCCTTGTGGAAGATACACAAGTCAAAGCCCTTGGGATGATGGCTGGAGAAATAGTGTCAAATCAACCATAGATCCAAAATGGGTAGCTAATCCGAGGGTTATACACAAGAGTTCAAATTACCATAGACATCCGCAGAGCCCTTCTCATGAGCATGTTTGTTAACCTGGATGGCAAACAAAAGTGGATCAGATTTTCTTATGAACCGCTTACCAAGGTTTGCGCTTATTGTGGCCTTCTAGGTTACTGATGGCACCATTGTAAACGGATTGAAACATTGCTTGAAGTGGCATAACAAGAGATGGAGAGCTGGGAGATTGACCACCTAGGAGAATTGTTAAGGTTGGAATTTAAACACGATAAGCCTCTGAAAATTCCACAATACAAAGGAAACCTACAAAGCTGCATGCTAACAATTGTCAGCTCAAATGATAATGGATCTGACGAAGATTTTGATGATGAGGGTCTCTAAGAAAAGAGACGATGCCTTCTGGACCGATCGTCGGTGACAGTTAGAGTCGATGGGAAGCACTTTGATTGTCCAAAATTGGAATGACTAAATAACTCGGACGAGTTAACCCGCGGGTCAAAGAAAAGGCATTTTGAAGGTGAACAAGTTCATCAACAAGAATGTGGCGGCCATGCGCAACATGCAAAGGCTACATGCAGTACATTTGGTGAAGGGAAAATGATAGCTGCTCTAGAAGACAATCCACCTGTCCCGCATGCATCAAAAAGATTTCAAGATGTCCATATGCAAATACTTGGAAAACAAGAACTTGGAAAAGTTATATAATGAAATCGGGTTTCAGATTTGTGGATCTAGAGCTAGGGCTAAATAAACTGGGCCGACCATGTAAGACCATTTACGATCCAGATATGAAAGCAATCTTGTCTATCAATGATGGGTTTTTGAAGTGCTTAGCTGATGATGGAAACAAGTCGATGGTACCTCTCGGCATGCTACTAGGGAAGGGCTCTGAGCAAGAAGCAAGCGATTTAATGAGAACCACAAATATTAGAGGAAAGGTGAATACCAGGCCAAACATGACTATAATCATCGGCCAGAGCCAAGGAACTATGATCATATTGCCGAACGACGATAGTGGAGAAATGGACCAGAACTGGATTGAAGTTGTTGGGGACTTGCTACCTGTTCCACCTCTAAGCCAATCTCTCCTCCGGAATAATATCTCTGCTCTAACCCATTAAGTATGTTGAAAATCACTAAAACCCCAGTCATTTTATTTCTCATTTTATAGCTCTCTTCACTTTCGTCGTTGGATGTTGATAGTGTCAGCCATTAAATTTTTCATCTAGAACAGTTAAGGGTGTTGTAACCCTCAAAAAGTTAAATTCCTCTCTAAGAGCATTAGAAGAACCATCCCCAATGCAAAACTCAGCCTCGGATCCAGCTTGGGGCCTATGTTTGGTCTATGGCAACCCAACAAAGAGTCACTGCACCTCGTTTTGGGAAAATCTAAGCTCTATACTAGAGGAATGTGATAAATGGCTCCTCATAGGTGACGTAAAAGACATAATTAAGGAATCAGATTACAGGGATTGCTCTTGGAATGGTAGAAAACCATCAAAAGCCCTAATCCAATTGATTGAGAACCATGGACTTCAAGAAATAATGACTGTCAGAACCCATTTTACTTGGTCCAATCATAAAAGCGGAAACAAGCTGATGAAAGAGAAGCTAGACAGGGGATTGTCATCACAATGGTGGCATGAGACATTTCCAGAGGCAAGAATTTTGTCCTATCCTACCATTTTCTCAGATCATGCCATATTGCCCTTAAAGACAAGTCCAACCTTAATGTCTGGTCCAAAATAGTTCCATTTTCTACCAATGTGGGCTGATGATGAGGAATGTAATAAACTGATAAAAGAGCTATGGGACAAAGACAAGAAACCAAAATCTTCCTTCTAAACTTAAACCGTGCAAATGGGCTCTTAAGGAATGGAATAAAACAAGATTTGGAAATATAAATGAGAAGCTAAAACTGCTAGAAAGACAAATTTTGGCAATCCAAGAAGGAGATAGTCATGCCAGCAGTGGGGAGCCATTTAGGCTAAGAAGGGAATATGATAAATGGCTGATAAAAGGGGAATAGTTGTGGAAATTGAACTCTAGGGAGATGTGGTTAAAAGAGGGGGACCGGAATACTAGATATTTCCATCAGATGGTCAATTTTAATCAAAAAAGAAAGAGCTTGTAGTTTCTGAAAAAAGAAAGTGGGGAAGTCATGAAACTAGAGGAGGTAGCAGAAATGTTTAAGCCCAGAGCCAAAGAAATTGGGGATTGTCATCATGGACATGACATAAATGTGTTGGGCCTTTTTCATAAAAAAGTGCCAATTGAAGAATGGGAAACTCTGCTCTCCCCTCCCACAGAAGAAGAAATCCATGAAGTAATTAAATCCATAAGATCACATTCGGCACCCGACCCAGATGGGTTCACCCCTTTCTTCTTTCAAAGATACTGGTCTTCATTAAAAGTTGATGTGATAAGCCTAGTACAAAATTTCTTTAGGACTAGTGAATTTCCTCTTGAAATAAATTCCACCAATTTGGTCTATATCCCAAAAGTAAATAATCCAGAAAATCCCTCTCACTTTAGACCAATCAGTGTGTGCAATGTTATCTACAAGATAGTAGTTAAGTGTATGGTTCTGAAGATGCGAAGATACATTAATGAGATCATCTCTCCCAACCAAGCAGCCTTCATCAATGGTAGACAAGGTACTAACATCATAATACTTGCCAAAGAGATCATCAGCAAAATGAAGAAACAAAAGAAAGGATTAGGTTGGCTATTCATCAAAGTTGATATGTCAAATGCGTATGATAGAATGAGAAGGGATTTCATTCTGAAAGTTTTAGAGGAAATGGGATTTCCAAAAAAGTAGTGTAAATTAATAGAATCCTACATTAGTACCTCCAAATTTGCTATAAAAATCAATGGGACCCACAAGGAAATCTTCAGCTTAAGGAATGGTTTAAGACAGGGTGATCCACTGTCCCCATATTTGTTCATCATTGGAATGCAGGTCTTATCGAGCTTAATTGAAAAGGATGAACATGAGCATAACTTGAAGGGTTTCAAACTAGGGAGAAACAGTTCACCAATAACTCACCTACTATTTGCAGATGATTGTGTACTCCTTTGTAAAGCTGATCCGACACTAGTAAGAAAAATAAATTGGGTGTTGCATGAATTTGAACAAATGTCAGGACAGGGTAAATTTGAAGAAGTTGGGGGTGCATTTCAGTAAAAATGTGCACAGAAGAAAAAGAAAACTCTTGGCAAGTTTACTTGGAGTCAAATGCACGGGCTTGAATGACAAATATCTGGGAGCTCATATCCACTTTGGCAGAGAAATAGAGAATGAGAGTAAATAATTAATAAAAAAATGAGCTCTAGATTATCCTTGTGGAAGGCTAAACTACTATCTCAAGCAGGAAGAACCACAATGGTCAAAGCTGTTATGCAATCAGTGCCCATATACATTAAGAGGGTCTCTATATTTAAGAAAAAAATAATATACCAATTAGAGAAGATCCAAAGAGACTTTTGGTGGGTGGGAAGTTCAAAACAAAATACAATGCACACAATAGCATGGGAAAAGATATGCAAGCCGAAAAATGGAAGGGGGCTAGGTTTTTAGGTTTAAGGAAAATGAGAGAATTCAACAAGGCTTTATTTGCCAAACAACTATGGAGATTACTTTCAGATGACTCAAGCTTATGGGTTAAAGTCATTAAACAAAGATACTTGAGGAACAAATCTCCATTCTCACTCTC